ATTGTACAGGTTATCCGCTATCTTAAAGCCTTCTTATGAAGATCGCTTGCGTTGCCATCCAGCACTAAGCGTAAGTGCTTCTGAAGTGTGCCTCTGCCAGATATAGACGTACCTGGCTCTTCTAGATTATCCTTGCTGTGCAGCCTGGGATTGTAACGGGTCAAAAATGCACAATGGAGTCCGGATTTTGATTTCCATAATTCTGATAAGTAGGAAGGAGTGATAGTTCGGCACTGCTATTTATGGTCGTTAAATGTTATTCCACGTTTGCAGTTCTATTTGCAGCATTGCACAAGTCTTGTCACTGGCAGTAGATACGTGGAACACAAACTGTGCCACCAATTGAAAATGTTGTTCTCATATCGCTTTCTCAATCCATTATTGTAGTTCTTACAGTTTATCTAATTCAAACTGTTTTGAGGCTGTTGTCAAAAATTGAGCTTTCCAGCTTCTTTTATTGCCGAGCTGGAGATTTACTCAACTAAGCTTTCACGTGCCTGTAGATGGAATACTTAGGAGCTGAGTTTAAATTCTTTGGATCATATACGGGAGGAGGAATTCTGTAGGCTGTTGAATGTGCTACTCGTCGTATAAAAAAGAGTAAAGAAGAGCGCAAGAAATATTTTCGCAGTCGCCTTTGTCCCTATGCGTACTGAAAATTCTCTGGATTTGGCAGAATCTACACTTAAGGGGCTTCTCAAGAAATACTAAATAATGAAAATTACACAAGAACAGTTGAAAAGGGCGTGTGATAGCTGAGCGCGAAGCCTGAGTGCATTCTAACCAAATAATCCAGGTACTCGCTATGTCTTTTCGATCAGTGCCACAGAATCAGAAAATATTTTGCAATCTCTACGATATGGATCGAGAACGATATTGTGTGGTTGAGGGAACCATCCGTGAAATTTGGCAGAGAGCGTGGGATCCACGAGAACTCTTTTATATCCCGAATTTGATCAGCTGCCCTGTTCCTGAATATTTCGAACACAGCACACACTTGACGGTTGCCTTGAGTAAAACAGCATGTGCAAGCCAAAAAGCAACCGCGCAAGTCCGGAAGACGGCACCGGCAAGACAAAAGCAAGGGATTGCTGTATGTGTGAAGGTACCACTTTTCCTGAATTAGCAATACCAAATTTTTTTCTTCAACCCCGGTATGCCGCGCACTAGTGAATGACACTCGAAAGAAAGAAAACAATTACTCAGGCGGTCTGCAAAGAGGTAGCGCACATACATCGAAGAAGCTGTAGGTACTAACTGGAGATACGCTTGCGCATAGCTATGTCAAAATGAAGCCATAACGAAAATAAAGGGCGCCTTAGTATTCTCAATATATTTTTGTCGAAAACTGTCGTCTTTCATGAGAGGAAATAACAC